AGTTTAGACAATCTGTTCTCATCTTAGATCCAATCACAGAGTCTTACGTTAGATCTCGAGCTAATATCTGCCTCCCCATTGCATGAGTTGATTGGGACTTGTTATACCCTCCAGAGCAGAGTCAAGCAAATTAATTCCTGTCTTTCTTGAACCTTCCTTACTTTTAAGGACAGCTTTCACATCCTAATTTAGTTGCTCCTGATATGTTCTCACTGTCCTGCTGGGACTCTCCCATGTCCTGGAATCAAATATATAGAAAATTCTATAGCTGGCTTTATCCCCAAACATAACCACCATTTCTACATTTCCAGAATTGCCCCCAAACTCCAAATATGGCTCCATCACTCTACAGTTCATGGTGACTGTCACTTCCTTTGGTTAGGTGCACCGTCTATTCACTCACCTAACTTAAGAGGTTAGGAGCTTTCTAAGTAACCAGATCATATTCTGGGGGTGTCCTTTCTATTGGATCAGTGATTCTCAAAGTTGGTTGCATGTTAGATGCTCATGGGGCATTTATTATCAAGACTAGTTAAATCAACATGTGTCCCAAGCATCTCTTAGTCTCCTAGGTAATTCTTATTTACAGTAAGTGTTGAGAAGCATGACATTAGAAAATACTACCTCATTTTCCAAAAAAAAAAAAAAAAGTGAGACTCAATACTGTATGTGAACTCAAAAAGTGGAAGTGACTAGCTCTGAGTGATTATACTTCTTGACCTCAATTTCTTATAAAGGAAGAGTGTTTGACTCTTCTTTCTACCTTTAGCTTCAGAGATGAGAAAATGACAAAATCTACCCTTGTACTTTGAGCCATATCTTACTTGAATGTATGCCCTTTATCTGGTTCTCAAGTCATATAGGGAACAATTATCTTGCAGTATCTTGCAGATCCTTGCAGTATGTATGATGGGGGGGGGGGCGGTAAGGAGGGAGGGTTTCATGATGGTTATTTTACAGGTTAGGCACCTGGATGCCTACAGCAGAAAGCAACAGCAAGTCAGCTCTTTGGTGATATTAGAGAAACATTTATTCATATCCATACTTATTGACATTGTCCATGCAAGACATGGTTCAGTCCTCAACAGTTTTATCTTTGGTTGGAAAAACAGGTTACAGGGGGGAAAAAAGTCTATGTGGACAAAGGGGAAAAGGAAACTTGTACATTAAATAGAAAATAAATGTGCAGGAATTTTAAGGAGGATATGATTTCTGATCTCACCCTACTACTTCTGCATCTATGTTCCATGATCTTTCTAAATGTCTCCTTTCTGGTATCTCCATACATAAATGTAAGTTATAAGCTTGCATGCCAATTTTCCTCACTAGGTTGTAAACTCTGAGTTGGAATCTCTAGTCGTGCTGCCATTATGTCCTGCAGAGTCCATACTACATAATTATTTGACAAATGCTCCAAATGCTATCATTGGAGACTGTGTAGAACTAACAGATGTGGGGGATCCCTGGGTGGCTCAGTGGTTTGGCCCCTGCCTTTGGCCTAGGGCGTGATCCTGGAGTCCCGGGATCGAGTCCCACATCGGGCTCCTTGCATGGAGCCTGCTTCTCCCTCCGTCTCTCTCTCTCTCTCTCTCTCTCTCTCTCTCTCTCTGTGTGTGTGTCTCCAATGAATAAAAATGAATAAAATCTTAAAAAAAAAGAAAAAAAGAACTGAGAGATGTGTGTCATGTGCATGCCCATCTGCTGCTCAGATTGTCCCATTATGTTCTCCAGGATCCTGGGGCCCTGGGAAGATTTCTTAAAATTGCACAATAGTAAGTTGCAGACCGACTTCCTTACCAGCCTCAGACTTTTTTGTGTGTTTTACGGTCCAGTTCTCAGATAATCAAAAAATGGCTGAATAGGAAAGAAGATAAGAATTGCTATGATATTTAGCTAGGATTTGAATACAGGTCCTGTTATATCAATAAACCTATCATTCAAGGTTGGGTTTTTTGTTTTTAGGAAGCCTTTACTATTATATATTATCTATTAAACATTAAAATATATCCAAAATACATGTAATATATACTATGTGTAGATGCACATATACACTTACGTATATATGTATGTATTTTATATATAGATAGATGAAACAAAGAGTAAGAGGGTTCCCTTTTCTTTCCTTTCCTCTCATCTCTCAGAATTGAAAAGATGACCAACATGCAAGGAAGGAACATTGGATGAGAAGTCAAGGGACATAGAATCTACTCATGGCTTTGTCTTAACATAGTGACTCTGGATAGTCCATTGCATCTCTATCCCTGTTTTCTCAGCTTTAAGATGACGAAGTCTGACTAGGTAATCTCCCAGGTGAGAACTCATCAGGCGAACTTTTACTGCATTATAATTCTGTAGACTTACTTAGCACCTATTATAGTAAATGTTTAATGAGGCCTGTGCTTCTTTGAGCTGCTCTTCAAAGGTCACAACACAGGAAGGAAGACCCTATAAATATGCCTGGGTTACAGAAGTGCAGAGACTTGGGCAACAAGCTTTAATGCTAGCTCAGAGGATGCCCAAAGGCATATATATATATATATATATATATATATATATATATATATATGCTCATGGGCAAACCCTCCTGATTTCTGGGGCTCACTTCCTCCATTTGGAAAGTGTAGGAATTGACCCACATGCTATCTTAGTCCTCTGTGGGCGGGCTTGAGTACAGGATTTCAGAAATCTGGGTGCACAAGGAAATGGGCAAATGTCATCTGATTACAGAGAGTGGTTGTTTTGACTTTCTATTTTGTTCCTTGATCTCTACTTCTGTCAGCAGCTCATTTTGCCCCGATGGATTTTTTTCTAATCAAGAATTACTTGCCCACCAACAACAATGTTCCAACGTAATGGAGAGCCGAAGACCTATTGAAACATGGCCACAACAGAGGTCTTGCCGTGTGATGAGCAACAGAGAACAAGCGTGGGACCAATCAGAACATTGCTCTGAAAAAAAGGAGATGGCAAGGGCACTTGGGTGGGGTGGGGTGGGGTGGGGTGGGGGGTCGACTATCTTTTCGGAACCAGACTGAACCTCATCCAGGGACTTGGACCGGGATGGGAGTTGGGGACAGTCTCCCTCGCCCCACTTCACTGCAGCATTACCGTGAGCAGAGTGAAGAAGAATGAAGATGCTTGGTGGCAAAACTCAAACCAGCTGCTGACCCAAGTAGTCTGTGGCCGAGGTGGTTGAGAGGGGGGTATCCCCAATCACTACCAAATCATTCCTCAGTCCCAATGTCCCCAGACTCTCATATAGAAGGGGGTAGTCAGAGTCCTCCCGGAATCTGAGTTTCGAGTACACTTTACTCGAGGTCTTTAGGCAAAACCATTCGCAAATCTTCCCGAATCCCATCTGTTCTATATTGTCCTACGTAATATAGATGGCTCTAAGGAGCACCATTCCTCGGTGGCAAGTGAGTTGGCTGGGAAAAGCTCCCCCTTTGCAACCCCAAAATGCAAACATGCAAAAGGATGAAAACACCACCATATTTTGTACGACCTGACGAAACCTCATTCTTCCCACCACCCTGAAGAGGGAACTGCACGCCAACGTGCCTTTGCATCTCTCGGCGCCTTTCCGCCGCCTCCCCGCCCCCCCCACCCGCCCCCATCAGGTGTCCAGTTTCTGCGCGTAACAGGAACGTGCACCGAAGCAACGGAGGGCGCGTACGTCGCTTAACAAAACAAACAAAATAAAGTAAAATGAAATAAAACAAGCCCCTGAAAGCGAAACGCAATTACCAGGTGGAAGAAGAAAAGGAAAAAGAAAAAAAAAAATGCAGCCGGTTTCCAGAGCCTATCACATCTCGCGGCTCGTCGCGCGGCTCCCCCCAACACTGCTCCCGTTGTGTCGGATAGTGGCAGTGTTGAGCCCGGGAACCCGCGCCGAGCCCGCGGCGCTCCCCGCGGCCGCCCAGTCCCCGCGTCGGACTCCGGCGCGCAGGAGCCGCTGGGCCGCGAGGGCGCTGGGGAGCGGGGTGGGGGCGCGGGGCGCGGGGCGCGGGGCGCGGGCGGCGGCGGGGGGTCGCCGGTCGGCCTCCACCAACTGTTCTCCTCCTCCCCCAGCAAGACCGCACTCCCTCCAATCGACCGAAATTCACCGAAATTCTCCGCGAGAGCGAGGGTGTAGGGAGAGGTCGCCCGCTGGCGCGGCGGCGGCGCCTCCCGGGGCTGCAGCCGGGAAGCTCCCCCGGCCCGCGGGGCGAGCAGTGGCGGGCGCCCGCGCCCCCTCCGAGGCGCCTCGCGGGGTGGCGGTCCCCGCTCGGCTCGCCGCGCGGCCGCTCCGATCCTCCCCCTCCCCCGCCCGCGCCCTCCCCCTTCCTTTCACTAGGACTCCGGGACTCGGGAGAGGGCGCGGGAGGCAGGCACACGGGCCCGACCCCACTCCAGCGCTCGCCGGGGACGCGGGCGGGCGGGCGGGCGGGCGGCGAGGGGACGCGGCGGGGGCGCGGGGCGGGCGCGGCCATGGAGCGGCGGCGGCGGCGGCGGCGGCGGCAGCACTAGCGACCGCGGGCGGGCGGGCAGGGCCGCCGGGCGCCGCGGACCGAACTGCACAGCTCAGCAAAAGCGCCCTCGCCCTCCGCGCGCCGCCTCCTGCGAGCCCAAACCCGGCAACGTCTTTTAAAGCTCCAATCCATCCTTTGAAGAAAAGGGGGGAAAACAGCATTGATCGGAGAGACGGGGGGGGAGAGAGAGAGAGAGAGAGATGTATATATATATGATCTTTTTTTTTGGCTCCTGCTAAAATTAGCCGGGCTCTCCGCGCGCCTGTGTGCGAGTGTGTGCGAGTGTGTGTGCGTGCGGGCGTGTGTGTGTGTGTGTGTGTGTGTGAATGTGATTACTCCAGGACTCCTCGGGCTCCGGAGACGCCATTTTCCCCCTTGATATCTCTCTCCATAAATCGGTGGCGCGGCGGAGGCGGAGGCGGCCGCGCCGGGCGGGAAGCGCGGGGCCGGCCGGGGCGCCCGCCGCTCGCCGCCGCCTCCGCGCGCCCGGGGGCCCCGGCGCCCCCCGAGCGAGGGCGGCCCGCCCGCGGCTCGCCGTTTGACAGATGCTCATCGCCATGGAGTTGCCGCAGCAGCACCTCTGGGGGCTCGGGCGAGCGACGGGAGCCGGGATCTGAGCGAGCGCCGGGGCCAGCGGAGCCGGAGCCGCCGGGACATGGGTGAGCACGCGCGGCGGCGACCTTGGCCCGGGAGCCCGGCGCCCGGCCTCCCGCGGGGGCCCCCGCACGCCCGGGGCCGGGGGCGGTGTGTGTGTGTGTGTGCGTGTGCGTGTGCGTGTGTGTGCGCCCCGTATGCAAAAGTTAACGTCGCCTCGCCGGGGCTTTGACTTTGCACCGGGCGGGAAGGGGGAGACGGGGGCCGAGGGGGCGGGATGCCGGTCCCCGCCAGGCTGCGGAGGATGGGCGCGATTCCGGCCCGCCCGCGGCTGGGCAGCGATGCTGGCTCGTTTGGAGTGGCCCGCTGGTGGCGGCGATGGTGGAAGCGTCGGGCGGGAGGGCTGGGAGCTTATTGAGTTTCGCCTAATCTGATCCCCCCCACTCCAGCCCCCCCCACCCCCGCCTTCTGCACCCTCCCTCGGTCCAGCCGCCTGCTGCCGGGGCTGGCAGGTTTGGCGTCGGTGGAGTGGACTCGGGAGGGGGAGGGGGCAGGGAAAGGGGTGGGAAGGCGGCAGGATGTATAGATAGATTATTTTGGGGGGTCTCTTTGTAACTTGCAGGTTAAGTGGAGCTAGAGAGCTACATTGTATCCTAGTTGGATGGGGTGTGTGTGTGTGTGTGTGTGTGTGTGTCTGTGGGGGGACGTATCAGAATCTAACGTGTCGTTAATAGAAAGAAGAACAGGGAAGAAGTGGTCCAGCCGGCCAAGGTTGGTGCGTGCTCGTGTTGTGGCTCTGTGTTAGCCTTTCTCTTAAAATCTTAATCAATGGATCTCAGTCTCTCTCTCTCTCTCTCTCCTCTCTCTCTCTCTCTCTCTCTCTCTCTCTCTCTCTCGTGCTCTCTCCGGTTTTGGGACTCTGAAAAGACAGGAATTCCCTTAAAAGCAGACGACTGCCTTGTTTTTTTTTTTTTTTTTTCAAACCACGCATTGTGTGTGTTTCTAGACGAGCCCTGGGCTTGAGAATTAACGGCAGGCTTCCCCGTTCGGTGGTTTCCAGTGGGAAATCACTCCGGAAAGGGAGCCCTTCAGTATCGATTTATTGTTTTTGTCTTTCAAACCATTATCTCTTTGGCTAAAATACTGTCTGCGAAGTTCCACAGAGACGGAGTCAGGTAAACTGGACCGGGCAGATCTTTAGCAAGATGGTGATAACGGTGATGCTGTTTTGGTTGTCTGTTTGTGATGGAAGCATTGCTGGGTAATAGCAATTTCTGATCGGTAGAGCATGCTGGTTCTAAAAAAATAAGTGACTGCCTAAATGCTGTCTTCCAGTCCCCTTCCCCTACACGCTGCAAACACCCCTCCTCCCGTGACCCACGCGCTTACAATTCTGAAATCGGATCCAACTGGAAATATTTTCTTTGGAGATCGGAAAGTTGTGCAATTGGAAGTAGAGGCTAGAGGTACCTGGGGTGTGTGGGGAGGGGGTTCTTACTGCCCCCCCTCCCCATGCTGCATTTATTCTTTATGTGTGTCTGTGTGGGTTCTAAGGCTGTGTATATCCATCTAAAAGGACTGTTGAGGGAAGGATTTCCGATTTGTTTCCGCTTCAAATAAACTGTCCTGATAATCTCATGGTTGGCGTCTAATGCTAAAAGGCCAATTTGTGTGTCTCTTTATCGCCTCAGAAACTCTTCCAAAAGGGCGGTTTATTCTCAAATTCTACAACAGCTACGTTTCCTTCCGAGCCCCCACCTCCTACCCTCCACTATCCACACCTCCCCCCCCCCCAAAGTTTGGCTGGAGTCTGTGGTCTTTAAGGAAATCTAATACTACTTGTTTTCTTCTTACATTATTTTTTGTTCTCTTCCTTTTCATTCCTTTGCTCTTTATCCTGTTTTTCTTCTTTTCCTGTCGATTCGTACAAAAAAACTAGTTTCACAAAGTAGCTGTCACTAAAACTATCTTGCGGTGTGTGTGTGGGGGGACCCACCTCCTACCCTCCTTTCACACAGGTAAATCTCATTAGCCCCATTCAAACTCCTCTCCATTGGCAAATCGTGTGCGTGTGTGTGTGTGTGTGTGTGTGTGTGTGTGTGTCTTGGGAGGTGGGGACAGGAGTGGAGTCTAGAAGAGGAACGTGGAGAGGAAGGGTGGTGTTCTTTGCAGGCCACATCTGCAACACTGAGGCCGGACCTGGACCGTCTGGGAGAGTTTCCTTTGCTCACCCCAGTTAGATGTTGTCTGGCTGGGATGGGGAGGCGGGGCCAAACTGGTCAGGGGCGTGTGAGGGAGGAGAAAGTTTGTAGCACTTTAAAATGTAGCCAGTTTACAATTCCTGGTCACTCCCCCCACCGCCCCCCTTTCAGTGACTTCCACCATCCGGAGACACCCGGAGGGAGGCTTGATCTCCAGCCCTAACACGGGAGGCCAAGGGTTCAGAGCGAAGTTGAAGATGTTGTGTTCTCCTCTGTCCTTAATGCAACTGTGCTACCAGAGAAGGGCGTTAGGACAGATGGGAAGGGTATGGTCCAACATAAGAGTATTTGCAAACTGCAGGGAAGGTAGCCTGAGCAGAGAAGGAGACCAGGTACTCCGGTACTCCGAAAATGCGCCTTTGCCCCTTATGCCCCCTCCCCCAGTAAGAGAAAAAATCGGTAGTCTTGGGAAGTTGGATTGGTGCAAAAGCTGGGCTGTGGGCGCTGCTCGCCACTCTCAGTAACCTGAGCTGGGCTGGGGGAGGAGGTGGTGAGGGAATGCAGTCGGGAGCCAGAGGAGGGAAACTGGACTTGTCTCCCGGAGCAGGGCAAATAGACGTGTCACTGGAATAAACAAACTAGAGGTGGGGGAGGGGACAGCGTGTAGTGAACATTAGGGGGAGTGGCCGAGAGGCAGCGGTGCGGTAGGAAGGGGCCACTTCTGGCTTGGGAGAAAATATCAACTGCCTTATATGTTCATAAATGGGCTAGGCAAGTCAAGGAGTGTAATCTGATCTTTTGTATGTTAACATCATAACGTTACATAGGAAGGCGCCGCTGGCAGGCCCAGTTTTGGACTTCACGCTGGGGAATCCTAGGGGTATCCCTGAGTGAACCAGGGAGCCTCTTTGATGCCAGGAGGGCTTCTGCTCCTGCACTCATGCTATTTACAGCAAGTAAGTTGCTTTGTAAATCACCTGACCTGAAGGAGGGCTGCCAGAAAGAGAAAACAGTGCTTTGGAATATTTGTAGAATTCCGTGGAAAACGGTAGGTGGGGAGGGGCAGGAGGCAGGAGTTTGCTGAAGAAGAAATAAATAGGTAGACATTTGCCCTGGATTCCTGATTCCGTTTCTGCTGTTATCTTGACTTTCAATTCCATTAGGGGCTGAATCGATACTTCTCTGGCACAAAAATGTACCTCTAGGAGAGTTCTTTCAAGCCAGTCATTATTTTGAGTTGTACTTCAAACTCTGCTCCAAAGCTTCTCCATAATATGCAAAAGGAGGTAGATGAGAGTGGCTGGATGGGACGTCCTTTCTGGATTCTTGCAGAGACAACAGAAACTTGGCTGGGCCTCAGCCTCCCAGAATGCCAGTTTTTCCCTTGGAGACTTGAAGTTTTAATTGAAACCAGAAAGCTATTGAAGGCAGACCCAGCCAATGAAACCTTGTTTTCTCTGCTGCTCAGGAATGGGAAATAAATAATTTTTTGCTGATGGCATTTCAAGTTGCTTCAGTTCTGCTCCTGCCAGAAGAATGGGGTAAATTATTATTAACACATAGGCATTGTCAGGAGTTGCAGTGCCTTAACAAAATGAGATGGTGTTATTGAGTTTACTCTATGTGGACCCCTCTATGTGGGAGAGGTCTTGGGGGGAGAGGACTGCTCTTGTTGGGGAGCAGGGCAGCCCTTCCCTGCAGAAGAGGAAGACTCGTAGAGTCCTTGCCACACATCACTGCGCTTGTTCTTTGGGTTCCTGTGATGAAGAGGACAAAGCCATCCAAGTCCACTCCCATTCTGTGGTCTGTTTTGAAACCTGGGGAGCTTCTTAAAATGGTTTAAGTCAGGATTAGGTGAAGAACGCCACCATCCTACATACTGTCATAGGTCTGAGTTTCTTTCAGACCTATTTCAGATGCCCTGGTATTTCACAAACTCTTCATCAAATTGCAGACACTTTGGGTACCCTAGCACCTGATAAATGCAGATAATCACCAATGTGTCCTCAGAGTGTACTGCCTCATGAATACCACCCTACAGTCTTGTTTCACTTTGGATTTTTATTTCCATTTTCACAGTCTTTGACTAGAGTCTCATGTCCACTTAGACATTCCAAGTTGGGGCAATGTGAAGTTTGGGGGGAACGGGTGACCTCAAAGGATTGCACGCAAGTTACTGGGGCCTAAGAGTTCTCACTGGGAATTTTCAAAGGTCTTTCAAAGTTTCCCGTCAGAGCAGAGTCCCTCTCAGAATTGGTTTTCTTATATCCTTAGAGGGTGCCCTCCAGGATTGAGGGAATTTTTTGTTTTAAGTGGTCTTTGGCTTAGAAACTCACAGTTGACCTCCTGTCCAGTTCAGAGCAGATGATGCCAGGGTCAGATGGAGAGCAAGAGCAGCCCTGAAATCCACAGGACACCTTTTGAGGAAGCAGGCAGCCCTGATGATGGATTGTGATCAGCAGAGCCTTGCGAAATCCCTGTAGGCAAAGCCAGCTGAGCTGACCCCAGGCAGGCTGAGGCTTCCACCTTTCCAAGTGCTGGGGAGGGATAAGGATGAATGGTGAGCAGATAAGAATTTCAGAACTTTGAACTTGGAAAAATGTTTCCCTGACCCAACTTACCCCATTGAAAGTACTCCCTTTCATATGCATGGCTCTTTGTTCTTTTCAAGATATCTTCATATCAGATTGGCCCCCTTGATGCTCCTTCAGGCGGGAGGCCGGATAAGAAGTGTCTCCCCATTCAGAAGATGAAACTGACAGGCTGACTTGCTCAAGTGACACAAGGTGCTGGCTCACCTGGGACCAGAAGGCTGTGTGGGAGTGTGAACAGCATCACACCTGAAGTGACAAGATCTGCTTTGG